TATACCTGGCCATTCCTCGGGCCGGGCCGGGCCAACCAAAGCCCGACGCAAAAAACCCAGGCCCAAGCCCGGCTCAGCCCGGCCGTCGGGCCTAAAAATCCGGCCCATCACACTAAAAGCCCGTCGGGCCTCGGGCCTCGGGCCGGGCCTCTTCCTTAAATGGCGAAATCGACGGGCCCGGGCTTCGGGCTCAAAACCTAGGCCCGAGCCCGGCCCATGGACAAGGTCGGGCCAGGCCGGGTCGGGCTTTTTCAGGCCGGGTTGGGTCGGGCCGACCGGGCCGGGCTGCCCATGGCCAGGTATAACCGTGTGTCTATATCCAAATCACAAACCATTGTTACTATTGGGTTTTTTACGTTGAGATCTTCGAAACTAGACCCTATCCCTATATTAACAGGTTTAGACCTTTTTTCCCAAAAAAACCTGAAATAAAAAAACTGAATCAAGAAAAGACCAGACACCGGAAAAAAGCAAAAACAAAAAAGAGGAACAAAAAACAACGCAAAACCAAAAGCAAGGAAGCACAGTTTGCTTTTCACCTTTTTTACGGAAGCACAACTATGCTTCACCTTAAAGTATACACACGCTTTTCACTTTTAAGAAAGCACATGTGTATTTCACACGAAAACACGATTATGTTTCACCGTGAAGCTTTCAGAAAGTGCACTTGTGCTTCTCACGGAATCGCAGTTGTGCTTCTTTCCATTTTTCGGGAAACACGGTTGTGCTTCACCGTGAAGCATAATTGTGCTTTTTCACTTTCGACGAGCACAGTGCAATTCATGTAAAAGTACATCTATGGACGGAAGAACACTTGTGCTTCACTATGAAGCACACCTGTGTTTTTCACACGGTGTGCTTCACACGAGAAAATTAGAAAAATAAATTTTCTTTTTGAGGAAACATAAGAAAAACCAAGTAAAACTAAAAATCCCCCAAAATCAAAAACGCGTGCAACTTAAAAAAAAACTGTGCTCCCACGGGAGCGCCTAACACGTGATACGTGCCGCACTCCCCATGCTGCTTGCTGGGGTTTTCGTGCGGAATCTATCGCTTCTTATGGCAGGTGGACGATGGTTGCTAGATGTACCATATGAGCAAGTGGGTTGATATCTTCTTTCCTAGGGACCAACGTGATCCAGGTATTCTTGCATCTCGGCATATATTTCTCTTAAGAGTGCGCTTAAGCACACTATACTGCTATATAAGGAAGCAAATGAGTTTTACAAGATGGCAACAAAATAATCACAAGATGATTGTTTGTGCCAACACAACACCCATACAATAAGAGGGGAGTTCTCTCTACTGCTATATAATGATCTCCCATGCGCCTCCATACACATCATATGACCAGAGAAGTTTCATTGGCCTGCTGTGCTGTGTTGGCGAACACATGGACATTCTATTATTTCCATAGGCTCGAGGAGGCCAACATAAAGAGAGAGTCAAACTCCCTTCTCGTTGCTTTCGAACAGACGCCACATACATGGATCCCCAGTCTAGCATCCTATCGAGAGTGCTAGACACTCCCGCCATAGGAAAAAGCTATGCAATACAGGCCCACCAAATGTATCGAGCATTAATGCATCAGATAAGAATATGGTCCGGTTTGTCCTGATTTTGCAGTCAAAGATGACAGGTATTCTTGCATTCGGACGTATGAATGTGACCCTTATGCTGAGATCATAGGGAGGGCTCCTAGTTTTGGAAGTCCCTACAGTCAATCAAGCATGAGATTCGCCTTCCCTCTTCTGGCTGGACCCATAGCTTGGTATGGTCCCGCACGCTTATTCCCTTGCTTTTTTTGCGATTTCCTCGAACTCAATGCTTCTGGTTCCCTCAACTGCCCATAATGAAAATTGAAACATCTCGTTCTGACAAACATTTGGGTCTAACGAGCTCCTTGCTTGGGCTGAATTGAGTGAGGCTCCCCCTCCGGTTCTGACAAACTCTCCGGATACTATCTTTGGGCACCTAGCCTCGTTGGGGACTTGGCGGCCTATGTCGTGTGCCGATGCTGGCATGGGCCACTCCTTTGTGGAAAGTGCCGCTTTTGCTAGAGATTAAGATCTTTGTTTGGCAGTTGTTGCGCCGTAACTTCCCCTCGGGGATGGAGGTCGCCAAGCGGCATGGGCCGGGCGATGGTAATTTTCTGTGTGTAGTGTCTGAGTTTTGGACCCACATTGTCTTCTCATGTCTGCAGCCCGTTTTCTAGGAGTTTTGTCCATAAGGCTCTAGGCCTAAATGGCAGGCCTCAAATCATGGATAGTTCCTGTAAACCCAGTCCAACCGTACCGGTAGGAGGAGACGTCTCTTCAAGCGAGTGTTCGCAGCGATGGTCTAGACCCTATGAACAACGCGTAACAAAATGATGGTTGAGGGTGTCTTTTTGCGACGTGCACTGGCACTCGCTTACTAGACAGCGGAACATCGAGTGACTTGGCGGGATTATCAGTGCGGGCTCCATATTGCATATCTTTTAGGCATTATACAATGCAAGGTGCTTAGAAAAATATAAACCATATTTTCTTAAACACCAGTGCTTATTTGTAGACGGCAGACGCTTAATTAAGCACCCCTGCTGTAAAGATAAGCATGGATATTTGAGAAAAAAACATGGTTTAGTTTACCAAGCATCTCCCCTAAACACTTTACATTGTACAAGGCTTTAGCTGGTGCTTCGGCGGCTCCGCGTAGCTATTGTATTAACCTTTTCTTTTCCTTTTAGGCATATTTGTGATACTTCCTCCATCTCAAAAAAAATGTATTAACTTTAATACGACTTTAAAGCAAACTTATTATATTTTTATGTTATGCTGGAACTTGTTGTGTGGTGGTTTGCTATATATGTAAAATCGAGGTGAACAAATGTTTCAAGACTCGCGGTACAAATTCCTATATCTCCGAAATCTAAACTCTAAACTAATATTTACAAAATTTCGATATCTCCGAAGCCTAAACTAATATTTACACGTTCCAAGGCCTATAGCAAATACAAAGAAGTTTGATCGATTCTATCCTCGAAGACGCCATGACTAACTGCTTGGTCGGTTCATTGTTGATCTGGTGGTTTCCTGTGGGCTTCAGATCCTTCCGGTCATCTTGTCCGCAACCACGAGCGGGTTGTGCTTGGCGATCTGCTCCTGGCCGGCGGCCTTGTAGTCGAATCCACAGTCGTGCTTCTCCGAGTAGCGGTGCACGCTGCAGAAGGTGCCCTCGCAGCGGCAGCGGAACCCCAGCAGCCCCACCTTCTTGCCGCACGCCGCGCACCGGTTCGCCGGCACCGCCGGCTGCTTCGCGGGCGTCACGGCGGGGTCAACCGCCACGGCGGCGGAGGGGGCGGCCGCACCATCAGAGGACGGGACGGCGACGGTCATCCTGGCCTTCTTCGCCGGCGGCGGCGCGGTCGAGCCAGCAGGGTCGATGAAGTAGACGCTCCCCGCGGCCGCGGTGTCGGCGGTGGCGGCGTGGACGTGGTCGCGGTAGCACTTGGAGCACATGTTGCCGGTGGCGGCGGCGCCGAAGAAGCCGCAGCCGTTGGCGCACAGGCCGGCCGTCTCCTCCTCCTCGGTGTACTTGCGCTTCTGCGCCGTCGTCGCCGCCGATGCGTCGTGCGCCATTGCTAGCTTACTTACTCCAGTAACACGACACGTCCGCGTGTGTGTATCGGGGCGCCGAGATCTGCGTGCGATCGGGGTTGGTTGCGTTTGATTGATGGGCTGGGTTGCGCGTGGGTGTGGAACCTTTATAATACGGGCGACCGTGTGACCGACGCGCGCGGTGCTGATCATAGTCCTGGCAGGACTCGCATCAGTGCCCGAAGCGGCCAAGCAACACGTACGGCTCCCGGTGCCGGCACGATAATAACACTGAACCGAGCGTCATAGTTTCTCTTTTTTTACACTCACTCGGTAGCGTGCGCTCTTATGCCGTTTGAGATCAGGTGCCCTAAGGATTACAAAGATACTACAAGGAAGTTTCATCAGTTGTCGCCTATATAAGGAAACTAGGGCAGACACACGTACGAGTTTGGGCTATCGTTTCCTTTCTTCGTGAATTAGAGGCAGACACGTACGCAAGCGCGCAATTAGGGCTATCGTTTTCTTTCCTTTCGTGGAAGAAGAAAGACGATCTTGTTTTACTTTTTTTAGGGGTAAACCATGTTTTATTCATCAAACACCATAGAAATTGGGATAGTTTTTTTTTTTGCAGGAAATAAATTGGGATAGTTTTGGTCATGGGATTGGCCAAGCCAGACATGACGTCCCAGACCTAACGAAAGTGGAAACTTGGCTAAACTATGTGCTTCAACATTGACATCACAACCTTCAAAATTAAAAATACAGTCAAAAGACAACACATGTAGCTTGTTCTCGCTAATAATTGCTCCATTGTTTCCTCGCCCACCTTTCTGAATGTCCGCAATCACCTGTTTAGCGTCAGAAGCAATGACCAGACGATGGGGGTGAAGATCTTGTTTTACCTAGTGCGACCTACAGCCTTTCGGCCCATCCTTTGGCGGCTCCCCTCCACCAAGGACACAAGGGCGGGCCGGCAAAATCCGAGGCCCTGTTCGAAACTAAAAAATGAGGCCCTATCTCACTAGTGTGATCTGTAACTAAGGAGGCAAGAACTGATCTTAATGAAGTAACGATCCCTGCCAAAAGTTAATTAGAATTCAGAAATTAGGTGTAGGCCTCTAGGAGCCAAAGTTAATCAGTGGGACTGCGGCCGGCTAACTGTTTTGGCGAGAGAAACATGTTGAGTAGATGAAGTAAATCAGAAGTGGTAGGCTCGTTGCCCTACTTGTCGCCGTGTCGCCTGTCGCGACTCTGGAGTTGGATGCGATCGATTTTGATAAGTTCTGGATGCGCCATCTCGCCTGCGCCCTGCCTTTTCCTCGATGCGCCGCCTCGCCTGCCTTCCTATGGATTTTAATTTGAAGGAAGCCTTCCTTTGGATGCGATCTATCCGATGATCCTGTTCGGTTTCCGATCCATGAAGCATCGAGCAGGCGGCCTAGGAGGCCGGGATGCTTGACTACATGGAGACAGAACGTACCATGGCCCAGCGCCATGCGCGGCCCAATGCCCGGAAGAAATATAATAGGCCTATATAAAATTTTGGGGCACCCAAAATTTATGGGCCCTGTGCTAGCCACACAGTTTGCACACCTATGGGCTCGGCCCTACGAGGACTTCTTGATCATCGGTCATGACAGGGTCACGGATCTCACAGTTGCAGACCTATGTAGCTCTAGGTTTAGGGTCTTCGTAGGTTAGGTTTGTTGCCGCACCACATCTTCGCTCTGACGAGGGTGACAACAACACTGAATAAAGGAGTTCCAAATCCTTTTCCGATGTGGTGTTCTGCTATGTGGTCAATGATGGATCCGAGTGCAAGATTGTTCAAGCGGGGATGGCGTGGTGGGGACAACATCCTTGTTGTGGACTTGTGTCCTCAGGCTCTTCCGTTGCGGCGTCGTTCACTCTGGCATTGGCACAAAGTATGAGAGGTTGTTTAGGAAAAGGTGCCAGTGGTGGTCTATGTCTATAACAGCTCAAAGACAATCAATTCATAATTGAAGGCTAGTGGGCCAGGTTTCCTCCTTTGAGGTTCTATCACGGGGGTCCCAAATTTAGAGTTCTATGGCGTGTCTCGGGTGTTGTCCCAGCCAAATTCTTTCAAGGCAGGGCTTCACCTTTGGCGAGCTACTTTGGAGGTCCGCAGGGCTACAGATCAACAATGGAGCTGCCTCGAGCTCGGTTGAAGAGGTGATCTATCCCCCTTTTCTTAGGGGGTCCCTGTGGTGGTGCCAGAGGCGGGTGATAGATGTTGGTAACATGCACAGCGGGTTATTCGGTATTGATTGTAATTTTCCTTCTTGTTTGGGGGTCCTTTGGGCTAAAACAAGCGTTCTATTGTCTTACCACTTTGTGTTGGTGTCTATGTCGCTTGTACTGTTCTCTTTATTATATGAATGAGATGTGTATTGCCGTTGAAAATAATATATAAAGAAATTCCCGTGGATTATGATTATAACTCCTTTGTTTTTTGTAGGATATATATATAACCATAGTTCCCTGCAAAAAAAAAACATAGATCCTTCAAACATGTAAGGCAGGTCAATTATGAGCATTCTTAGGGTCTCTGTCGCTATTGGGTCACTGGAGTGTGGATGCATCCCTATCTCAACTTGAAAATAATAATTTCCTTGAGCATACTTTACCTCCCCGCGGTCCTCTCTCTCTCTCTCTGGAACAACGATGGCGGACAAAGGCATCGTCTGTCGGGATGGAATAGTGCCTTCTCTCTCCTAGAGATTGCCCCTTTTTAGTCCTCTCGCCAGAATGGAGCAATGAAGACTACAAACTGGAGGAATAGAAAAACCTTTGACAACTTCTTCGCTTCTCCAGGATTTTCCAGCTTTCGTTTAACAGACAGGAAGATAAAGAAACCCCAAGTGGGATCCTTGTGCTACTCGAAAGACCTCATTTGTAACTTTCTTGCGGAGTTTTACACACACACACACACACACACACTCATAGTTTAGCTCCTCTTTACTATTGATAATCCCCATGAAGTATTGTAGCACTTTCTCAAGTGGAGGTGGTAAATATGGAGTGTTGAAACTAAAATGAGGTGATACAACCCCACGTACAATGAACTTTGCTTTTCCTAGACCTTCTAGTAAAAGATAGCTTGCAAGTTTTAGAGAAAGCGAGTGTGGAGTAGCGGTGGTAGGTGTTGCAAAATTATGCCTAGGCAATTGGTTATGATACTAGTCTGATAATAATGTGTTGTAGTTGTATATGTGGGAGAGGCCTATGCTAATTAACATGCAGCAAAATCCATTAACAACATGTTCTTAAGATTGAAACCCTTAGCAAACATACACACCTACTAAGAATTCATTAAGGTAAAGCCCAGCCATGGCATAAACTACTACACTCAGGTTTTTAATTTATGTCACTCCGGCCTCCCTATGCATATCTATCTCAACATACTACTAAACCTAAAGTGTGATTCACACATGAGCACACTATTATAATGGGCACCAAAGGACATCGACATATCATAACATACAATTCAAACCAATCATAATAGATCACCAATCACCATCAGACAAAAAGGGTATACTCAAACATAATAGAAATTCAACAAATCATTAATAAATAATTTATTAAATCAAATACCATGTTTAAGTACGGAATTACAGAGGTTTGTTGGAGAGTGTACCACTATATATATTGAGGAAAAGGCGATGGTGATGGTGGTGAAGTTGATGGAGTCAATGGAGACAATAGCGATGGTAATGATAGTTCCCCCGACGCACTCAGACACCACCGGAAGAGAGGGGGGAGAGAGGTCCCCTCCTTCTTTCTTGGCTTCCCCCTAGGTGGGGGAAGGTTTCTCCTTTATTCATTGATTTTTATGCCCCCCGAAAGGTGAGAGCCCCCTTTGAGATTGGCTCCCTGCTTGAGCAGTATTTTTCTAGATGTTGAAATATGAGTCCTATCACCATTTTATTTCCTCCACGGAGTTCCTAACTCTGAAAAATCTAGAGAAAAAATAGGACGGTGGCAAAACTTCCAAAGCAAGCCTGAGGAAAAAGGATGCTACCAAGGGATCTGTTACGTAGACACGCAACCTCAGCTTGCAGCCCGGGGGCGCATGAGAGAGAGGCATGTGGGCCCCCTCTGGCTCCCCCCCCCCCCAGGTGGGGCCAAGACCCCCAAGGCTCTCCTTGGGGTGAATCTTGCCGACGTATTTTATTTATTATTATTATTGCGCTCCCAAAAATTCCTTTTCTGGAATGTGCAAAAACACTAGGAAACAAAAACTTGCATTGGCGCTGAACTAATATGTTAGTCCAATAAATGTTATATAAAAAATGCCAAGATCATATACAATTGATGTGAATATAGCATAAATAGTTAGACAGTTACATATACATTAATTGGAGACGTATCAACTATCTGAATCGATGAGGAGTTCAACCAATTCAAAGTGAAAGTTTTTTTTTAAAGCAAGCTCATTCCTACAGCTCCAAATCGTTCAGGGCAGTGCCACAATTCCTAAAATGTTTAATACTTTCTTTGTCTACAAACGTAGGCAACCATGAGCTAAACAAATCGATGCATATTATCTACCACATTTTCCAAAATTAACGCACACTGCAAGATATACTACGTATCATCCTTTCAGAAGAGCACCTCAACAACATTTGATCACCAGTTTCATTAATCATTATATTACTACAAAGGATGCATAATGTAGTTTACAAGAACTCAATCAATCAACGGATCGAACAAATTCACTTCCCAGACTTGTAATTTACAAGAACTCAATCTATCAACTAATCTTACAAATTCATTTCCAAGACTGATTACAGGTTTGGCGACAACGAACGTCACATGTTCAATGGTTTCGTCGTCTGGTCGATTCAGGCGGTCTTGTGGGCTTCAGATCCTTCCGGTCATCTTGTCCGCGACCACGACCGGGTTGTGCTTGGCGATTCGCTCCTGACCGGCGGTCTTGTAGTCGAATCCGCAGTCGTGCTTGTCCGAGTAGCGGTGGACGCTGCAGAAGGTGCCCTCGCAGCGGCACAGGAACCCCAGCAACCCCACCTTCTTGCGGCACGCCGCGCACCGGCTCGCCCTCACCGCCGGCAGCTTCGCGGACGCCACGGAGGGTTCGACCTCGACTGCAGCATCGGCTGACGCGACGGAGACGGCCATCTTGGCCTTCTTCTCCGGAGGCGCGGTCGAGGCGGCGAGAAGGTGATCCTTGTAGCACTTGGAGCACATGTTGCCGGTGGCGGCCGCGCCGAAGAAGCCGCAGCCGCCGGCGCACATGCCGGCCGTCTCCCCGTCGGGACACTTCCGCTTCTGCGCCGTAGTCGCCGATGCGTGGTGCGCCATGGCTGCTGCTCCTCCAACAGGACGCGCTTTGGACTCCGGCGCGGCTGCGATCGCGCCCTCTTCTTGGATCGTGACCCCTCGTGCGTGCGGTGCGATCGAGTTTGGGACGCGACGGGAGGCTCGCGTTTGGTGACCTGGCTCGCGGGGTTGCGGGCGCCTTATAGCAGCAGCCTGGGAGAGAGCCGAGTTTGTGCAGGTCCCCGCGGCCCAGCCGGAGTCTGAATCATGCGAGCATATGACTGACACCGTGACGGTGTCACAGTTGCCACGGATAATCTCGAGCGCCGCGCTGATTTCGGACTCCGTGGCAGACGAGTAGACTGTTCTAAAAAAGACAAACGGAGATTTTTTTTTAGTGGCAACAAACGGAGATCTTTTTTTTTTGGAGGCAAGACAAACGGAGAGATTTTTTTTTTGGGGTAAAAGTCTTTTATTGATTAAACTCCACAAAGAGTGGGATACAAACTGGGTCATGTAGCTAGCCAAGCCACACATGACGCCCCTGAGCTAAAGTAAGAGCAAACTTAGCTAGTTTATGAGCTTCTTAATTAATTACTCGACTTTCATAAATGAAATTACAAGAAAAGGCCTTCGATCTGGCTTGAATTTCGCTGATGATAGCTCCGTACACCCCTTGACTGCCCTTCACAATGTCATTGACCACCTGTTTTAAATCTGAAGATATGACAAGATTATGGACTTGAAGGTCTTGTGCTAATGAAATAGCCTCTCGGCAGGCTATAGCCTCCATGGTTGCGGGATCATACACCCCATCGATTATCAATGCCGCACTGCCTAAATAGATGCCATGACTGTCTCGACAAATAGCGGCAACTGACCCTCTTCTATGTGCCCTGATCCCTGCGTCCACATGTATCTTAACGAAGTTCGTTGGTGGTGCAGTAGGTCGTCTGGCAGGTGCAGCCTGCACGCTTGTTACCCTATGAGTAGGGATCGTAGCTCTCTTCTCCTTCACCACCTCTAAATCCCTGATGAAGCGATTGATGAAGTCTTTTGTTGCATGTGGGGTTTGAAAAATCGCTTCATGGATAGCTTTTCGTCCATATGGCCCAGAGTGTTACCGCCGTAAGCACAAACTTGTCGTGTGGTAGCTTCTCCATCAGTGCAAACAGCCAATTCTTTGCCCCCGGTTCAGATGTGGTAGCTATATCGGAACCAAGATCTTCCTCCAGTAGCGCCCAAGTACATCGAGCGACCGTGCATTCTAAGAGAGAGTGTTTCCACGAATCTGGCGCCCCGCATAATCCGCACGAACTTGTATCTGACATATGTCTATGTGCTCTAACATCTTCCGTGGGGAGGGAATGTTTTGAAAATCTCCATAGAAACATACGTATTTTTGCAGGAACTTGAATCTTCCAAAGTGCTTTCCATGATCCTTCCTCTGAATTAATGCCTGATGGTCCCGCACGGCCCTCCAACCAGGCCTCTCTTCGCTGTCTAGTAGATACTAACATGCGATATGCAGATTTAACAGAAAAGTTGCCATTCCTCTCATGTGCCCAACTCTAGAAATCTGACATGTTCATTGTACAGATCATGATATTTGCTATGACCTTGGCATCAAAAGCCAAGAAAACCGTCTGAAGCAGCTGCCTATCCCAGCTGCCTATCCCAAGTGGCCGTTGTTGTGTCGGATACTAAGGTTGGCGGATTGGGGTGAATGCATCCATATGGTCTCATCATCTCTTCTCTAGGGATCCAATTTCCCCCCGAGATATTTGTACTCTGGTTGTTTCCAATCCTCTTTATAAGGCCTCGTTTTAAAGTACCCCGCCCCTCGATGATGACTCTCCATACTTGGCTTGGATGACCCCCCCCCCGCGTGGCTTGTAGTATGGACGAGTTTGGGTAGTATATACCTTTGAGCACACGCGCCGCCAGAGAATCATGATTCTAAAGCTAACGCCACGCCTGACGTGCAAGCATAGCCAGATTAAACAGCTCAAAATCTTTAAAACCGAGACCACCCATTCCTTTTTGTTATGTCATGGATTTCCAAGAAACCCAATGTGGCTTGTGATGTCCTTCTTTACTCCCCCACCAGAATTTACATATCAACATGTTTAGGTACTCACACAAACCTCTAGGCAATTTGAAACATGACATTGAGTACACTGGCACTGCTTGGGCAACCGCTTTCACCAAAACTTCCTTACCCGCAGTAGACATGGTGTCAGTGTACAAAAAGAGGGGTATGCTTTTTGTACCCCTATAACTGTGCACGGGCAGTCTGAGCTACGGGCACCACCACACTGAGCAAGGCAAGGGAGGTGAGCCAAGGTAAGGCCGAAGCTCAGGAGAAGCAGAACAACGCCAAGACCAAGACCACAAAGAGCAAAGGAGACGAAGAGGACTCCCCACGGCAAGATCCTTGCCGGGAGGCGGTTTTAGCAAACCCGGCAAGACCCTTGCCGTGGCAGCTCGCCCCACACCTACGGACTGAGTCACCCTTGAGTCCACTGCCCCCATGGGGCAAGGATTCGGGAGACATCCCCGTGGTGGCATGCAGATCTTGGTGAAGACGTTCAAGATCATATACACCCTTTAGAAGATGATGATCCTTGGCGGGATCCCAGCCAAGGAGGACAACAAGGCCCCCGGCAAGAGCCTTGCCGGGGATGACAGTCGGCGCCACGGCAAGACCCTTGTTGGGGCCCCGGCAAAGCCCTTGCCAAGAACACCCGTAGGGCCACCATCAGGCCCATGCTAGTCAAACCTCCACCGCCGTTCGCATGCAGCTGCCGACCCAACTAGCTGAGCAGGCACCTGCGTGGCGGCATGCGGATCTTCGTGGAGACCCACCACTGCGCCACCTCAGCTACCTGCCTGCCTACATGGCACCGCGGGCGCCGCTGGCCAGGGCGTGTGTCGACACGAGAGGGAGCAGCGACGGACGAGACATGGCTCTCCCCCGTCCCCGATAAAGCAAGGACACCTGGGCAAGACGCATTAAATGCGCCTTGTCATGTAATGCGAGGGATAACCTCACATCACTGTACCCTTTCCACCTCCTGTGTGCCACTATGGCAACCCCTTTCCTATAAAAGGAGGCCCGAGGTGACCAGGAGGAGGGGTCGGCTTTTTGGAGCTCCTCATGCCCCATAGCTAGCCCAAGAACACAAATATACAATCCACCAAAGCAGGAGTAGGGTTTTACGCATCCTCGCGGCCCGAATCTGGATAAACGAACCGTGTGCTATTTGTTTGATCCGCTCTTCTCACGACCCCGCGCCCCGCAACCGTAGTAGGGATTCTTGTGATCCCATAGGTGTCGTTCCCACCGACATCTTTGGCGCGCCAGGTAGGGGGTGCAGTTGTGAGAATCGGCTTTAGCAGTTAGTTCGACGCTTCTTCATCGTCATGGCGCCCAAGAAGAAGACGACGGTGGCGGTTGGCCCGTCGGAAGCCAGACATCCCGTCCCAACGCGGGCGAGCAGCGGACCGATCGCCGAAAGGACCCGATGCGCCGTTCGCGAACACCAACACCGTCCTAGCAGTCGGAGTTTGGGAGGCGGCGATGTCCGTGCGCCTGGTAATGGGCCGCACGCCGCCAAATCCAAAGACGGAGCCAGGCCCTCCACGGGTGGCGCGGGGCCTTCCAAGATCGCTACCACCCAGCCCGAAGGTGATGCGAGGGCCTCCAAGACTCCCACGCCGGCGCCGACGGCGCGCTCCTCTCAAGCGGCACGCGACGAACGTCGCAATCACGCCGAAGACCCCGGGCGTCACCGCGGGAAGAGCCCCGAGCGCCACTCCCGGGAGGTAGAAGACCTGCCCGCTCGCCGAGGCGCTGGTGAAGATGGCATGCGACTGCGGGGTCGTGATAGAGCTCCTTCTGACATGGTCAGAAGTCGAAGCGCGTCGCGATCCGTGCAGGTTTCGCTGCCACCAACGCCAGCAGAAGCCCTGTCGCACGCACAGTTACTCCTCGATTTTCCTCCCATTACGGGGAAACTTGATGAATGGAGAGCCACTATCCGAAGCCTTGTTGCAGTGGCCAACAAAGACGAACCGAGTCCGGTGGAGCCCCCGGGTCGACGCTCCGACGGAGTCCCACGCACCAGTGGCAGGAAAGCCGGCGGCTCCACGACCACGGTGCACTCGCCTCATCCTCGCCCGGTACCGCGGACGCCAGCCCGTCATGACGTTGCGGGCGATGAAATCTCCATAGCGTCGTCCGACCCGCGGACCCACTGTGACCAGCGCCAAGTCCTTCGGGAACGAGAACATGAAGACCCTCGAACCACTATCGAGCGCCGGCGCGGAGTGCGCCACCAGTCAGACAGGCAAGCAGGGCCTGCTGTGAACCACCCAGCACCGGAGAGCCCTGGAGGCCTACCTTACGAGGTAGGCTGTCCGGCTTTTACCCATGAGCTGCGGCAGTTCTAGTGGCCCACTCACCGCACCTTCAAACCTAACGTGGGCGAAAAGTACAGTGGCAAGACCCACCCGTCCGAGTTCCTCAGCATCTACACCATTGCGATACAAGCTGCCGGAGCCCGCGACGATAAGGTGCTTGCGAATTACTTTCCGTTGTCTCTTAAACCTAACGCCATGTCATGGTTGATGCACTTGCCGGTAGACTCTATTTCCTCCTGGTCAGATTTATGCCATGAGTTTGTGGGCGCCTTTACTGGAGGCCACCAAGCCCATGGCCAAGCGAGCGACCTGCACATCATTCCCCAGAAGGGAGGCGAGAGTCTCCGCAAGTATATACAGAGGTTCAGCCGGATACAGTACAATATCCCTGATGTTCACCCTGCCGCCATCATCAGCGCGTTCCATCAGAACATGCGTAACCGCAAGATGCGCGAAGAGCTGGCAATGAACAAGGTGAAAGATGTAGCAGAACTCTATGTTCTTGCTGACAGATGTGCCCGGGATGAAGAGGGAAGGAAGTACCCCGGCGAAGACGCCGGCGTGGAAACCGACTCCTCAGATGAAGATACTGCCGCCCCGGCGAAGAAGGGCCGGCG